ATCACTTGAATATCCAATCAAGAAAAAAAAAAAAAAAAAAAGGAAAACTACATGTCAGTGTCCCTGATGAACATAGATGTAAAAATCTTCAATAAAATATTAAGAGAGCAAGTTGGATGAAGAGGAGAGGATATGATCCAGGCAGAGGGAGCAACAAAGGCCTTGGGGCAGGAGTCAGGAAGGAGCTTCGTAGGCCTGAGAGATTGAAAGGAGATTAATGAGACTAGAGTACTTCAAGAAGTATATACTGTAAAAGGAAGCTCAGGAACTAGCAGTGGCTGGGCTGCATAGGGCTTTTTCTGCTATATTAAAGAGTTTGTCTCTTAAGGGTGATAGAAAATGATTAAAAGATATTAATACATGGAATGGAGAGAGATTATAATCAAACTTACTTTTTGAAAAAAACAACTGCTGACTGCAGTATCATCAGATTCCAGGGAAGCAAGATAATTGCACATAGATAATTTAGGAATTTATTATGGTAAACGAGGCCTTATCCCTAGCAGTTTTCATAGTTTAATTTTGTTTTGTTTTGTTTTTTGAGACGGAGTCTCATTCTGTTGCCCAGGCTGGAGCACAGTGGCACAATGTCTGGGCACTGCAACCTCTGCCTCTTGGGTTCAAGCGATTCTCGTGCCTCAGCCTCCCTAGTAGCCTCAGTTGGGGTGGCTACCACGCCTGCCTAATCTTTGTATTTTTAACAGAGGTGGAGTTTCAAAGTTGGCCAGGCTGGTCTTGAGCTCTTGACTTCAAGCAATCCACCCACCTCAGCCTCCTAAGGTGCTGGAACTACAGATATGTGCCACCACACCCAGCTTATCTCTGATTTTTATAATTTTGCAAGAATATATTTACAAGCTACTATGTATTACAATGTTTTGAAATGGTTATAAGTATATTTTTTGGCAATTAAAATGGAAAAGGTGACTTTGCATTTTTTTTTTAATATGTAAAATGTCAGCTGCTGTGTTAGGGTCTGAAGAGTCTTTTGTGTCCAAGCCTGGGAATTGGGTTTAGAGCCTAAGAATATTTAACACTAGTGTTCATATTTTCTTCTGTTATGTTTCCTTTTATGTTACTATAGAAATTTGAACATTTTACAGTAGTGCTGTTCAATAACAACATTAGTGCTGCAAATGCAAACCACATAGATAATTTTTAATTTTTTAATAGCCACATTAAAGAGTAAAAATAAAGTGGTGAGATTCATTTTAAATATATTTAACCCAATAGGTCTAAAATATTGCAACATGGAATCAATATAAAATTTCTAGTCAAATATTTGACATCCTTTTTAAATAGTAAGTCTTAGAAATCTGGTAGGTATTTTACACTTAGAGCACATTTCAGTTTGGACCAGCCATGTTTCAGTGGCTCAACAGCCATATGTAGCTGCTACCTGCTACATCAGATAGTACAGATCTATAGGTTTCTGGGAAAATAAGTGGAATAGTTTGTTTGTTTTTTTTTCTTAAGTTACCCAATTTATAGAAATAGCAACCCATGCAGGCCTGAGGATGGTTTATTTGGAGCAGAGTTGCATGTTTGTGTTATAAAAAATGATCTGCAGGCTAGGTGTCTCAAAGGTGTTATGAGATTAATTTTTTTAACAGAAATAGTGAATTTCCAGTTATCACTTACGGTTTTTGAGGGACTTTTAGGGATAAAATGGAAGAGATATATTGGAACTTGCTAATTGAAGTCTTAATATATAGAAAGGTTTAATGATTTTAGATAGATTTCTCAGTGCTGTGTAGCTTCTAGCTAATGTTCACTGAAATGTTATCACATGTATTAAGCCCTTCTATTCTGTAAAGAAATAAAAACAAAGTATCTGTGTTGTTCAAAAAATCTTAGCATACATGCTTTGATACATCAAAATTAAATGATTCTTAAGCCATCTTGGCTCACTGCAAACTCTGCCTCCCAGGTACAAGCGATTCTCTGGCCTCAGCCTCCTGAGTAGCTGGGCACTACAGGTTTGTGCTACCATGCCCAGCTAATTTTTGTATTGTTAGTGGAGAAGGGGTTTCACTATGTTGGCCAAGCTGGTCTCGAACTCCTGACCTTGTGATCCACCCACCTCAGACTCCCAAAGTGCTGGGATTACAGGCGTGAGCCACTGCGCCCAGTCTGTAGTGTTTTTTCTGTTGTACTTATACCTGCTAAAATATTCAAAAGGGGCAGTCTGTCTTTCAAACCTTGTACTTCAGCCATCTTGTTCCCTACCCTGTGGGCAACTTACTTGGAAATCTCTCCTGAGACAGCCTATGCATATACAAGCAAAAATGTAAATATATTTTACATTTTTCAACTTAAAAATTGCAGATCTACTTGGAGGAATTCTTCATTCTGTTTTACAGCTGTATAATGAGAATAAAATTATTACATCACCCGAAAATACTTAATAAAGGTAGCTATTGTTACAACGAATACACTTAATATTTTTTAGCAACTTTCCTTTTGTGATGTTAAACTAGGTGATTTTTATTGTATGTTTGAAAAATGTTAAAACTACTTTTTCCCCTCCCCTTCCTCCCCCACAGATAATCAGACAGCTAAATGGAGTCTGAGCAGCTGTTCCATAGAGGCTACTATAGAAACAGCTACAACAGTATAACAAGCGCAAGTAGTGATGAGGAACTTTTAGATGGAGCAGGTGTTATTATGGACTTTCAAACATCTGAAGATGACAATTTATTAGATGGTGACACCGCCGTTGGTAAGTTCAGCATGACAACCTAATGTCTGTATTCATGAATATCCACTAGTAAACATATACACTATTTTACTGAGGTTGAATTTTTCAGTAACTTAAAATTTTGGGGGGTAAAATTTACATAACATGAACTTAACCACTGTAAAGTGTATAATTGAGTGGCATTTAGCACATTCACAGTGTTGTGCAACTGTCGTTTCTATCTAGTTCCAAACATTCTCATCACCCCAAAGAAAACTACATTTAAATGGGTTAGCTTTTAAATATAATGTAATACAGAGAAGTGTCAATTATCAAATCATAGTGTGGAAATTGATGAATTTCTACAAAGTGAACATTATTATATAACTACTCTTTAATCAGGAAATAAAACATTACCAGTATTTCCAGAATTTTTCCTTGTTTCACCTTCACTTTCAATATTATTTTGATTTCTATCTGGATTAGTTTTGCGAGTATTTAAACTTTATTTACAAGGAATTCATACTGTATACTCTTTTATGTCTGGCTTTTACATTTTGAGATTGTCTATATTGTTGTGTGTAGCAATAGTTAACTTATTTTCATAGTTGGTATAGGATCCCATTGTGTAAACATACTTCAATTTCTTTTTCTATGTCGATATTGTTTGTTGTTGTTGTTGTTGTTTATTTTTTTTTTTCAGATTTTTGGCTGTTGCTAACAGTGCCACTATGAATTTTCATATGCGTGTGTTTTAGTGCACATTATGTACACAATTCTGTATGATTTATATCACAGAATGGAATGCTTAGATCATAGAGTATGTGTGTCTCAGCATTATCAGATACTGTCAGTGATACTTCCTTTTCTTTTTTCTTTTTTTTTTTTTGAGATGGAGTCTGGCTCTGTTGCCCAGGCTGGAGTGCAATGGCACAATCTCAGCTCACTGCAACCTCCACCTCCTGGGTTCAAGTGATTCTCCTGCTTCAGTCTCCTGAGTAGCTGGGATTACAGGCGCCTGCCATCACTCTTGGCTAATTTTTGTATTTTTAGTGGAGATAGGGTTTCACTATGTTGGCTTGGCTGGTCTTGAACTCCTAACCTCAGGTGATCAACCCACCTGAGCCTCCCAAAAGTGCTGGGATTACAGGCATGAGCCACTGTACCCGGCTGCCTTTTTTTTTTTTT